TTGAGAATTGTAACAGCTACCTCATTGATGCACAAAAATGACAATTAACAATTGAAAGAAGTGTGTGGCTGCATTGAAGAAACGGATATTCCTGATTATGGAATCCCCAACTATCAGTGTGGTCGGAGAGAAGAGGGGACGAGGAGATAACACTGTGGGCATAATGAGCGTGGATGGAGGAGGCGAAGATTAAACCAAGAGCGGTATAGAGCGGCGAGTCCTGGTGCGAGAGGAGGGCTTAGGAATGGCTGGCGTAGTGATCGCGGCGGCAGGTGGAATGGTAGAGGAGGAGGCTGGGAGTCCCTAGCGAGAGGAGGGAAGTCGTGGAGAGCAAGGACGTTATATTTATTCTCCAGCTGGACATTGAAGTGATAGAAGAGGGATGCCTCCCTTTCCAGCTGCTGTGAGCACGGACCAGGGCTTGTGATAGGATGGAGTGGAGCTGACCAGGGATTTAGGCTTAGCCCCGAGCTGTAGCCAGTACTCCTCAGGGATTGTGAGGAGAGGACAGGAAGTGGTGGCATCATGCACACAGGTGGCGGTTGTTGGTTTGTGCTGGACCAAAGATGATGGTGAGCATCTCGGCCTCCTAGATCTTGTAGAGTGTGGATATTCTTCCCTCCAGCTCTGTGATTTTAATCGATCAGGCGGGCGCAGCTGACACAGTTGAATGGGGAGGTGAGTGGAGCCATCATAGATGTGGAGGATGCAGGGGCTCCAACCCAGAGCCCACAGCGTTGTTCAGGTTTTAGCAAAGGTGACAGCTGATTCACAGAGGATTCCATTTTCAGTTTTTCTGATTGTAGACACCTGGTAGCGATAGCGATAGCTAGCTCCAAAGCTAAAAGCTTAAAACAACTCCTGAGGAGGGTTAGACCAGGAGCAGGCCATCGGGCAGTGCTAGACCCTCTCCGTGGTGCCGACCGTGGTACTGGAAAAGCCGGCAGAGGCGGCGGGGGAAGCTGAGGAGGAGCAGGGGGGCAGGAAGGTGTCTCTGCCTTCAACGCTGATTCCGGCGGTGACTGTAGAAGCGCTGAGATTGTGCGGCAGGGTGGATCCTTTTGATGAGCTTCCGCCACGCCCTGAACCGCGCTACAGAGACAGCGAGTGACACAGAGGATCATGATGCCACTGGAAGCCTTAGTGATCTCTGAAGCGAGAAACCCGTCGGCGTGCTCTGGGCCCAGGCACAACTGATAATTGGCATGATGTAGCCTGTCTGGCAGGCTGAGCAGAGATGGAGACCTAAATGGACTGTACTAGTATAGCGCTTTTCTAGTCTTCTGACCACTCAAAGTGCTTTAAAACTATGCAACAACAGTACACAATTTTGGGGGGGTTTTGCCTGTACTGATGTGAGGGTCCTGGGACAGAGGATGTCATATGTGTACAGATTGTAAAGCCCACTGAGGCAAATTTGTGATTTTGGGCTATCCAAAATAAATTGAATTGAATGTCATCACTTAATTCACACACATTCATACACTGATGGTAGGGGCTACCATGCAAGGTACCCATCAGGACTAACCATTCACACCCATTTGGAGTAAAGTGTCTCGTCTAAGGACACATCGACATGGACTAGCGGAGCTGGAGTCGTCCTTGAATCAGAGAATCAAACTGCTGATCCTCTGATTGCAGGACGACCCTGCTCTACCACAGTCGCCCTGTATCAGATGCTGGCTGAAGAAAAATGGGAGCCGATTGTCGGGTCTCATCTAAATTTACACTGAAGGTAAGACCGAGGTGAGGCCCACACAACAGGTGGGCGTGGATTAAAATTATTTCAGTGACTGTGCAGACTGATGGATGTGCAGATTAAAAAGAGTGTCTAGAGACAAATAAAAACTTCTGACAGCCTCCAGTCTGGACACCCAAGAGCCAGACAGAAATGATTGAAACACTATTTTACTGTGTTGAGGCAATGTTTGCAGTGATACATTGTAAAACACACTGTGGCGGCGAGGCGTGTTCGGGCTCAGCTGCAGAGGGGACAGAGTGGGGGAGTGGTTCAGGGAACGGTGCCGGGAGAGGCTTAATTGGGCGCAGCTGAAACCCATCTAAATTGTGTGTCTCTCTCTCTCTCTGACATAAAAACACTAGTAGTGACGGAGGCAGAAAAAGTGAGGCAAGAGACACAGACTGGCCGTGGGCAGAGAAGTCGGCAGACCTGGGGAGAACCCACACGGCGTGCGCTCGGAGGAAGGCAGCAGAGCGCACGATCCAGTCCAGCCTGTGTGAATAAAACTGAATAACTAAATAAAGAGTGGTTGAGAAACACTAATTGACCATGTGCTGGCGTACTTGTGCTCCCAGGACCCACAGGGGTAGCAAGAGTTTGTTACACACACTTTATTCAAACTCGGGATTAACTGATTTTGCAATAACCGCGGTTGTACAATGTCACGGTTTCATAACCTTAAGAATTGTTGAAGCTACAATATTCATGGTGTCCTGATTACTACATTGTTGTCCTGTGAAAAAGAGTGTCGCGAGACATGTTTGTTTGTGCGGTGAAATCTCCTCTAGCGCAAGTCACGTAATACGTGTCTGCAACAGTTTTGATTTATGTGTTTGAGAGTCATGCCACTCACAACTCAAATATTGAGAGGAATAACCTTATATCTGCCAAAAAATCTGCTACGTAATTTGCAGTGTGGGTGCATTTTGGATACAGAAAATTATCTGGGAATCATGTGAACCACAGATTAAGTACACAGTTCAATCATTATAGTGCGAAATAATGCTTCGATCGCCGATCCTTATCTGCCTATCTTCAGTAAAATATGCAATCTGTAATCGACTATTGCTATACTGTGAACAACAAATCCCTTTGGTAATCAGCAGGTCGAGAGCTGATAACATTGGCAGCACAAGCTAATAGCTGTTGTTATAACGTACAGTTGTATTCAGTGACAATGTCAGTGACAAATCTTTACACGTTATAATGTAAAGATTTGTGCATTATAACATTATCATGATGTGATCAAATGTGATATTGTAAAATGTAGTTTTTGTCGAGAAACTTGAATAATTCCAGTTGTTTGAAAGAAATGTTTTCACAGCAATATAAAATAGAGAGGGAATTATGAACTGATTTTTGTATAAATAAAAATACAATCTTTTATTTCCTTATCATTTGAATTTTGTGTTTTTATGCAAATAATACCACTAAAGATGACTTTAAGAAAGTAAAAGGATTTAGTTGACAATATTAAATATTTTAGTTCATTGGCTATAGGCCTATTCTGATTAGTAATCATGAAAATGGGAAAATGGTGATATTTCCTCTGACAACAATTGAGAAATACAATATCATGACATATGGCAGTTCTATTAACTGTTAGCCAAACACCGCTAACTGCAAACTGTTTTCTCCCCACTGGGGCCGCAGAGCAGCAGATGGGGCATTGGAGATGCACTCAGCTGTGTTATCACTAGCGGCACCTACTGGCCAGGGGGTGGTTAAGAGTGGTGAGTGAGGAGTCAGCAGGCAGTATAAAACAGATAATGAAAGGTGTTTTGAGAAAACTGAAATAACCACGAGGTTCTTGAGCGTGCAGCCAAAACTGGCCACCCATAATATGATGCAGTTTGCTACAGCAGAATAAGAGATTAGCTGTGGACAGAGCTGCAGACAGAGGTGCACATTCACTACCGCACACAAGGATGTAAACATGCGACCGATTGCATGATCCTCCTGGCGGAGATAATAATGTCAGTGACACATAATTGGAACTATGTTAACAAATGAGTTACACTATTTTCAGAGCACAGAGTCTAGAAATATAGTATGGAACTGACATTAGGTATGTCATAAAGAGTCCTTCTACATTGGGTTTCTGCTGATACTTATATATTTATATACGGCTGAAGATATGCAATGTTGATTCAATGTGTGTCTGACACATTGCAATAAAATGTGAATGTTTATTTTCACAAGCTCATTAATCCAAATATGAAGTTATGAAGTATATGAAGTTGATGAGTTAAGGTATAATGTGCAACAATTTTCTACAAAACAATGTATAGAGTGATTAAAAAATAACTCCTCTAAATCATCACTGATGAACCACTACAAGAGAGTGGTAGTGTCTGTATCTGCCCTCTGCCTGTATTTTCTCGTCTTCTTATTTAGCTGTGTTCGGGAATCTTCTGGGCATCAGTAAAGAGCACTTGGACCCCACGTGGGGTGTACGGTCAAACACCACCACTTTCTCACACCTCTCAGCGTACCAAGGCTCACAGCCGTCATAGCAGGATGAAGCAAACCTTGGGCTATGCTCATTCAAAATTAGGCACCTTCCTGCAGGTTTGTGTGAAGGTGTGTGTATATTTGTGCTTTAGAATGCAAACTGCAAACAATCAGAAGATTATATTTAATTATGACTATTCGTGGCATTGCACTCAACCTGTCCGTGATTGGTGCTATTGACTTTGAATCTACATTTTACATACTGTAGTCATATTTTCGTAAGAATGCCCGTGTCCTGCCGAATGTCTGTCAGTTCCCAATGTGCAATAAAGAGACATTAGAATGAGAAATATAAACTTTGCAACACCAGTGCCCTTGGCAGTAGGCCAGAGATCACATCCAGTACAGCATTACTTCTGCCTCTACCACAAATTGATCAGGTAGAGCTGTGTATGTATTATTTGTATACAATATTTAATGCCTATGTTTATGAAGGTTTTACAATCTTTGTGCAATTCTGAAAATAAGGGGATGTGCATGCTAGTGTACACAAACACTTTAAATGGCCTGATATATCTTAGATTTGCATGCATTTTTGACAATTAGGGAAAGGCAATCATCTTGTTGAAGTTCCTTCTTCACTAATGATTATTTATAGCTGCTGTTTGCATGTTTTTGGTCTTTATATACTTCATGAATATTCATCTATAAAACTCATTGGACTGCTTTTTTTGGTGTCTGTGAAGACAACAATAAAAATCATAATTGAAAAAAAAAAAAGTGAATTTAAAATCAGTGTCTCTACCTCTTTGGCCCTCCGGTGTCTGCCTTTGCTTTCTCTGCCCTTGTCCTTGCCTTCGTCTCCAGGGTGACAGGAGTAAGAGACTGTCCTCCAGTCCCGTGGAGATTTGGTGATGCTGGGGACCTTCGACTCGGTGGCACTGTTCTCCTCATTGAGTGAGCAGGATGACCTCCTGGTGAACATGCTTTTCTTCAGAGCTTTTACCCTCAGGCTATCGCTGTTACTCCCATCTGAACAGTACCACTCCCCTGAAGAGCCATTGTCTATTTTGACATTGTGACCAGTGGTGTGGCACTTGACAACACTAAGTAAGAGGGTGGGGTTGGTATGTAGGTGAGGGTGGGGGTGTGGCTTGTTGGGTGTGGCATTGGACCCTGATGCAGACGCCGTCTCCCTGTGTCTACCGTTGGCCTCAGGTTCCTGGATCTTTTCATCCAGCTTGTTTAGTTTGGAAAGCACCTGGGAGATCTCACAACGAACCCCCGACAGAGACTCCAGCTTCTTCTCGATCTCACCAATCCTCATAATCAACTTGCACACACTCGATTTGAGCTCATCGTCTGTGTTTTCCGGCGAATGGAAGAGGCAGTCCAGCTTGGACTTGGCTAGTCTGATCGTGTTGTGTTCAGGGGAGATGTCGACTTCAGACTTAAGTGTTACCTGAGAGAGGGACCCATTACTGTTGTAGCATGACGATTGGACAATGCCCAGAGAGTCACAAACACTCATATCATCCAGAAAACGAAAAATGTCACTTATGTCATCACTAACAATCTCAGAGTCCTCTTTGCAGTGTTTGAATGGGTGCCTTTCTCTGTCACTGTACTTAGCAGGGTTTTCTTTCACCTTCTTCTGCTCAGCCAGCTCTGTTTGAGTCCCAACACTAAAGGAGCAGTCCCCTCCCTGAAAGGATGAACTGTTTATATTTTTGTCCCTAAAACATCTGGCTGCTTCTCTTTTCTCCAAACCCCCAGGCCTACCTGCCATTCCTCCTACATCCTTGTTTTTAATTCCTTTAGTGTTCTTTGCAAAGCCAGATGGAGAAGCTACTAACTTTTCCCCTGGGCTCTGAAAATGCTGCTCATTGTCAGTGTTTATCATGGTAACATTGTGATGGTGGTTTTCTTTGAGTGGTTTGCTGTTCAGAAATAACCCCTCAAACTTTGGAGGCCCGTTGTACGTGTTGAGACTCTTCATTGGCCATGACGGCTGCTTCCCTACTTTGTTACTGTGCCTCCTGCTGCTGACGCACTTAGAGACTGTGGTTGGACCAAAGTATGTGGATGCCTGTAAATCGTCCAGGCTCTCGTGCTTCACCCTCCTTCTGTCCTGAAGAGGGGAGTTGAGTGTAGACTCAAAGTAGGGGTTACTGTAGGGCAGTTCAAAGCTGTGGTTGAAGAAGGTTGCAGGCTTGTGCAGCCCTCTCCTGTGGTAGCCCTCAGCAGCCTTACTGCCATGTTTGTCGATCTACAAAAATAACCCAGACAAGTTAAAACACACAAACACAGCAAATACAGCAGAAACCTCCAGAAGTTATATGTTTGAGACAAAATGCAAATAAGTACTAAACTGAATGGAAATATTTTTACACTCAGTTAATTTGTGTTCAAACAATAAGTCCATTATGGTCCTCTGGTCTTCACAATAACCGGGGTGGGGGGTTAGCGTTAGTGTGTAAGATAACGCAAATTTTGTATTCACTTATTAAATGATAGCAGGAATTAATCATCTGTTTCAGAAAAATGGGATAGTATAACACATGTTAGTTGTAAATAATAGTTAGCCCATCAGCCAACATGACCACTGTGAGAGTGTTATTTGAAAGTTACTACATAATTTAGATGCAATGATAAAATATGGGTTAGGTTAGGGGGTGTATTTTGAGATATAATTTATCCTTTAACAAACAAAACAAATATGCTGCCACTCCCTTGTTTTCAGGCTATTAAAACAAGGGAGTGGTAAAATAAAATATTTTCCATATTCTTCTCAAGTGGTGGAAAGTAACAAAAGTACATTGTACTCCATTTAGTTTTCAATTTTATTTTACTACTTCGGTAAATTTTAGAGGGCACTCCTGCAACACAGAATCAGCGGTACACTGTATATTTTTTTGACTGTTATTCAACTCTGGTTAATTAATCTCGTCAATTAAAACTTAACAATGACCATTTTTTTTCCATGAAGTGTTAAGTCACTTATGGTTACAATTTTGCAACATGCTGGCAAATGGCTTTTGTATTTTTCTTATTTTGTATATGGAATACTTTTCGTTTTTCGACATTTGGTCAGACAAAATAGTTATTTTATAAAAAAGTGTTGAATTTGAAGTGTGCACTAAATGATTGAAAATCTTTTTTTTAACTCATATTTTATTGCTATAGTGTTCCAAACCCTGATGTTAATGTATATCTGAACAGCAGTTGTATATTAACATAGTTTAAATGTTCGTCAATCAACAGCATCCTAAAAATAAAAACACAAACCTGTGGGGAGAAGGCCACAAAGTTGTGGAAGTCTTCCTTAAAGACGTTCCTCTTCTGGATGCAAGAGTGAACAGAGAAGGGCTCTGGATGGCTAATGTGCTGAAGGGACTTATGGTCAGTGGTAGACTTGTTGTCAATGTCCATGGGAAAGTAGGTGCTCTGCATTTGGCAGGGTGGAGACTGCAGACTGCAGCTAGAGTACTGGGGCAGGTGGTGCTGCTTGTCGAGAGAGGCTGCTCTACATTTCAGGTCCTTGCTGATGCCCAGAAGGAAGTTAGGGTCTGAGGTGGGAGTAAACTGCTGGAAGTTGTTGCACTCAGATGATTTAGGAAAAGGGGCACTCTGAGCCACAGCGTTCTGCTGATGATGATGGTGTCCATCCCTAGGGTGATCCATGTGCTCATAACCCAGCCCCCTCTCACAGTCCTGAAACTTATAGTCATCATTGTCAAACCTGCACAGCTCCACCAACTGATTCGAGTGGAACATGGCTCTATGCACTATGTGGAGCTTGTCTTTGGCTATGCTTCCGTTCATCTGGATCAAGTTAAACATGGTGACGATGTCTGCTGCCACCATGAGCTTCTTAGATTGCGGGTCCTCCATGGTGCAGCGCATCTTGTCCTTGAAGAGGGTAGCTGGGAAGGTGGGGTCCAGACAGGCTGTGTAGAAGAGTAGGCTGCGGAGCTTGGCCAGTTGCACCAAGTCGAAGCGAGCGCACAAGGACTTACATAGATCCTGATATGACATGGTGTTATGCTTGTTGCCCAGCTCATCCAGGATCCGTAACAGGAACAGAGAGTACTCTGGGAGGGGGTCCATGGCTGCTGGTTGGCAGGAACAGGCCTACCTCTGGAGAAGCTTGGCACCTGGCCCTAACAGGAGACAAATTATGCATTGCAAATGAGTTGCACACTTATAAAGCACCTGTCACACCTGTACATGAAAACAAATTCAAAATGACACAGTTTGCAGATTTTTTGACATGGCCAACACGAGGACAATAATCGATGTAAAGTCTAGCGGACATGCATCGTACTCCTCGTAACCGGACCAGTTTTCACTGAATCCACCTGCATTTCGTTAGACACATCAGCCGTTAGCTAACTATAACCAATTTTAACCATAGTCATCAGTCTAAATTAGAAAATCAAACCAAACACACGGTACCTACTCACGTTCACGCGCACAGGTAAATGCCCATACAATAACATTTACTGTCCCGGGTGGTGTTGATGTTGACCACAGATCCATTCTCACGAGCTACATGTCACAGCAAGCAGAAAACGTCGGACAATTCTGGACTCCTATCACAGCTGTCCGGGAATATAAAATGCCTCCTGTGTCTGTGTCAAGGTAAAATAATAAACACTACTACTACTACCGTTTTTTTCTTTCAAAATAAGAGTCTAAAAAGAGCGTTGCTGAAAAATCTTTTCTTTTAAACTACAGATGGTAGAAAAGTACTCATGCCTCGTCAGTAAAACAATAACCAATGAACACATATTTGAAAGAAAGTGTTCATTATGCAAAATGACCCCTGTCAGCTCTCTATTATGTATTATGGTATTGGATTTGGATTTCTGATTGATTGACAAGTAAACAGCATGTTGTCCTTGGGTGGAGGTTATTGTAACTATTTAGTTTACTGTTTACGATGCAACATATTAAATCATACATTTGTATGGTAACTATAATAAAAAGACACAATATAAACATACTCAAATGTAAGTATTTTCTTCATAAGTTAAGTATAAAGTAGTAGCTTGTAAATTAAATACTTAAGTACAGTACAAGTAATTTTAAATTCATTACAAGTAGTTTGATAACCTTTTTGAAAATCTTTGTTTGACAGTAGTTTCAATAACATAACATACCACAGGACAAGAGCAATTTTATTTCCTCTGCTGTCGACAGACTTTTTCAAAATTAAGTAAATTTGTACATATTGGTAGAGGTAAAGTGCGCATGTAAGAGCAATGGAACATAAACTAAACCCACCTTACAGGGTCCTATATTAGATACATCCACAAAACCGGGCCAGTTGGACAGGAATTGCACACTTTAACACGTTTTTAAAGCTATGAACTAAATATGGTACTTTTTCATACATGCAAGGGAGTCTTCACTCCTTCCTCACCGGACTGTTGGCGTCTTGCCGCTGTTATGCTGTGGATCATCCCGTTGATACTCCTGGGACGCACATCGCTTCTCCTCTCACGGACAGCCGGTGTTACGGTTTAACTAGGGACCGTGTTAACTGGCGACCTTCAGCCGAATGCGTCTGTTGTTGTCGTAGTTACGGCAGCTGTTGAGAATGGGTAGAGAACACGTAGCTGTCCTCGTGAATGCCGCATTGTTTAGTTTTGCAATACAGTGTCAAACCTTCTCATTTACAGTCTGTGGTCAAAACATATCGGAATCGACGTTGGAGAGTCTTTTGAGGAAAGTAGTCCACTCGAGTTTGAAACGTCGCTTGCTTGCTTGTTGTTTGTGTTGAAACAGGAAGGGAGCAAATTCCCCTTCCTTTGAAATAATAAAGTTGGTAAAAAAACACATAAACGTCTTTGGAGCCTGTTTTGTGGAAACATGATTGTGTTACGTAGAAGTCTGTAGCACAGTTTAAAAAAATGTACAATTAAAAAAAAAGTTACATACGGGATTCGAATTCATATCATTGAGTGGAGAAACAACTGGCGGGCAGAGGCAGTGCCGTTACACCACGATAGATACGACGGAATTGCTGGAAGCATGTAGAAAAATGTAAAACACAGTCAGCAGTTGCTCCTAAGAGCAGTGGTAACACTACCCCCACTCTGGATGATGATGACATAACTCCAGCACTGTAACAGACAAATGAGCATTTTAGTACATTACATACTGGAACATTCCCAAAAGTAACCCTCGTTTTTCATAGTCTTCGAAAGTGGCCCCCTTCCAGGTGATGGCGGCTTGAGGTACAGTGGCAATGTCCACAAAATGTCTACAGAAGCACACTGCATATCATTCTTATGTAACCCAATATCCATAACATATACATAAAGAGGGTAATATCAAATTTATCATGTATCCAAAGGAGCAAAAATGGGTTAATACCTTTGTCAAACAAATAAGAGCAACAAGTAAAAATTCTACCCTTCTTGTTGGTATTGTTCACTCACACATCTACTGATTTCTCAAACAGTAACTTAGCATGCACAAGTCATTAAAACAATAGTGTACAGCCCCTCAGTGTCCAGATGACTCATTATTTATAACTACCAGGTAAAAAATAATATAACACTCAACCTTCACTAAACAGTCCAATTAAAACTTCCAAGATTACGATTATTTTTCTTTTTTACAGAGTAGGTAGAAGCCTCCAGAGCATGATCCTGGAATGGTAGGCCTTGAGCTTGTCATGGTAAACTACTTCAGCCTTTGCCCTTGGGCTCTTTTGAATCCGGTAGATTCAATTGTCCAGTAGTACAGACCCTCGTAAAGGGAAGAACTTCCTTACTTTGTGTTTGTCTCTCTTGGTGTCTTGGTTTTGGACTTGGCAGATGTTCTTGCCGCACTGTCACTTGGCACACTCAACAGCTGATGAGAGAGCTCTAGCCGTTCTCTGAGCTGCATGAAATAGTGTGGAGGGTTGTTGACACTGTCACTGTCGGGTGTCAAACCAGCAACCAGCTCAACTGGCTCTGTTATTTCCTGCCCAAAAAGCATAATGTTAGGTGTCAGGAGCTGTGTTTGGATGCACATGACAGCATATGGAATGACAGCATATGGAATCATCACATCCAAGTCCCAGTGGCATCGCTGAGGAGAGGCAGCCAAGGTTTTCTGTAGGGTGACATCAAAACGCTAAACTTTCCAATTCAAACTGAGGGTGAAATGGGGTAGTACGTGTCTTTGCAATTCCCAGCAGTTCATACATTCCCCTGGACACAGACAATTCAAAATTGATGACCTGGTCACTGTGCAGGAGCTGTAGGGCTCCGTACCTACACATCCACTCAGATGCAATCTTTTCAGCCACTTTTGTTGCCTGCTGGTTGAGAACTGGATAGGCTTCAACCCACTTGTTGAAGTAGTCCTGTACTACTATATGAAGCGGCTGTGCCTCTCTGCCTTGTATAAAGGCTCCATCAGATCAACTGCAATCCTCTCCATTGGTGCACCGACTCTCAAGTGCCCATAGCAGCTTGAGGGGATTCCTTAGGACAAACCTTTGCGGCACAACTGATGCAGGTGCGGCACCATATAGTGACATCCTCCTTCATGTTGTACAAATAGTATCAGGTCTGGAGGCACGTGAGAGTCCTCTCCATCCCCAAAGTGGCGATCCTCTTTTACGGAGGTACGGTGCATGCAGGGCAGCAGGATCTGCAGATAGAATACCTTTCTTTTGCAAAACTTTCTCTGCAAAACTCAACATTCTTTTGGTAGAACGTTTTCCATTGTACCCATTAGACTTTGGTAGCAGGGCTGCAGGGTGCTATTAAAGCCCATGGCTTACACAGCCTCTACCTTCGTCCATCCACTTCCACACTTTTATTTTGTTATTTAATAATGACATCACAGTCACAATTTCAAAATGTACAGACGTCAAATCAGTGGCGGCTGGTCAATAGAGGGCAATGGGGCATGGCCCCACCTTGAGCCACACAAAAAAAAATAAAAAATAAAAAAATTATAATAATCATAAATTATACAAATTGTCAATATTTGTGTTTTTGAACTATGGAATGTACCCAGTAATATATGTAAAATATGATATCTGCGCAAAATATATGCTTTTCCTGCTCATCCTCTCCGCCTGTGTGCACGACACATCTCAGAACGCGCAGCTAGGGGGGAAAAAATCGTTTTTGCCCAAAAGAGGCGGGTCTATGAAGCAGTTTAGCCAATTGCTGATTAAAGACATAAATGAGTGACATACAATTTAGCCAATCAGCGTCCTCAAATAGATTTAGTGTGGGGCCAGAGGGATTTTCCCCCCCTAGCTGCGCGTTCTCGTCAGGAGAAGTCTCTACAGGCGAGCGCCAGCGCCAGCGCGAGCACTACTCCTTCAAGACCCGTTTGAGAGGAGAACTTTGGCGGAGATTCTGCAGGCCAAAGAGCTGATCCCAGATCAGCCTGACCCCACAATCAGACAGCAGACTAGCGGGAAAGGGAAGCAGTACATGCGAAGCTTCTCTACTGTACACCAGACAGGTTTGGCCAGCAAGATGACGTCATGCTAATAAGTTATTTAGCTTTTTAAAACAACGGGGACAGATCCAGCACGGACAGTTACGGGAGTGAGGGATGAGGAGGTAAGGAAACATGAGAACACCAGGATAGGGAGTGAGGGATGAGGAGGTAAGGAAACATGAGAATACCAGGACACACATGGAGAACTCTGTCAAGCTACATATTAGGCAAAGTGAACATCTTTTCTTCTACATAGTCTCATCTGCTTAACTTGGTCATGGAGGCATCAACATTTAATTGAGATGGTAAATTAACAGTGAAAACTCATCATAGCTTAATTTAACATCAGTATTCATAATTACACTTCATGTTTACTTCTCCTGATCTTTACCTCCTATAACAAGGTCCATAGGGGCATCTCAATAAATAAACATGTTATATTATATTATATAAGTGTTATTTACTGCTTTTTTTCGTGTTGGAATAAATGTTAAATATTTAACTGCAAACTGCATGTTTGATACTTTAATTTTTTTGCATTAAATCATACTGAGATGTTTGCTGAAATTGATAGGATGGCCCTACCTAGAAAATTTTCCACCAGCCGCCACTGCGTCAAATGCATTCCGCCGGTAGAAATCGATCCTATACTTATAAACAGGACACAGAACACAGTTTGTTAAAGAGGTAACAGGCTACAGAGAGAAAACACCTCTACTCTGACAGTGATGGTTACTGTGTGTCTTTCCCATTTAACTGTTATTAGTTACTATTATTAAGTATAGTGATCATGTGTACAGACACAAACTTCCCAAAAGTCTCTCCAGCTGTTGAAGCCGACTGACAGCTGATCCAGCTGTGATCAGCTGATCCGCCGTCA